GGAGGAAGCTAGGAGTGACCTGAGGCTGAGAATAATTATGTTCTGTAAGTTCCAAAATGAAATAGAAAAATCTTGTCTCCACCTCTAAAAGATGTATCCTTAAAATATGAATAGGCATTTATAGATGACTCTAGACTTTATGTAAAGGATTAATAGCCTTCATTTAAACTTTTCCAGTGTTGAAATTAGCATACTAATTTTGTTCATCAGTTTGCCATAATAGGTGAAATAATGCTTTTTTAATACACATAAATGCCTTATCTGCGAACCTAAGAGAAATACGACTGTACAGCAATTACCTGGAAAAGTTATAATTTCGTGTTAGAAACATAAAACGATGCAGTGCCTTGTGTCAGTATAGTACTAAATTGCAACTATAACATTTATGGTAAGAATAGTAGCAAATGTCATTCTTTAGTTCACACAATACCCTGTGTATTTTGAGGCAGTTGCACAACTGGCACTATTCTCCCATTCTTTACCTTGAATCCATTATCATGTCATATGTGGTGTATTATATTTAGCATATATCAGTGCAGGGAGAAAGCAGCAAGTATTTTAATTTGATCTGCTTCCTTATGTGTGTTCAAAATGCTATGAAGTTGAAAAAAAATAAAAGAGCATGATTTCAAAACATTAAAAGTGATATTTTTTTAATGTTTCTCCAAAACTCTTCACAAATTCTTTCACTGAGGTGATATAGTATACTTCACATTTGCTAGTCGAAATGGTTAATAATTGTGCTAGTAGGTATAGTTACTGCACATATGGAAACAATTACGAGGTTTTGAAGCTTGGTCGATTGGGACTTTGAAGCGTGGTCAAGATAACCTTGATTAGCAATAAGAAATTCATAAAGGATAGACTTTGATCTCCAAAGCTTAGACAATAAGCAGAACATCCTGAACCATAATGAGAATAGTTGAGGATGAGTTATTTGACAACCTGGCAAAGTGACTATTCGATTAATTAACTTGGCAGTGAAACTGTTAAGTGTCCTGAAAGTGAACTGCTTTCATTACAATACTAAAAACCACACCCACCGGTCAAAGACCCCTGCCCAGGTTAAAACCCTTCCCCTGAGCGTGCATACTAGTAGAAGCATTATGTAAGCCGTATTATAATTTTATGTTAATCACCAACAAATTGGTATCTAATAGGCATGTTTGGAAAAGTACTACCCTCTGAGTTTTGTGTATAAAAGAAGCAACAAAACCTGCTGTTGGAGTGCTTGATTTGTGGAGAAGTCCACCGAGTACCCAGGCCTGTATGAATACAATCTCTCTCCTGAGTGTGTTAAGATTGGTTTATTGCTTGCTTGGCACGAATCTGCTTTTTAGGTAACAGAGGGAGATACCTAAAAGAGTGCTTTAAAAATATGGCTAAAATGAGTCAGACTTACTTTTTTGCTGTGACTTAATGGAGAGAATATTACTTGTTCTGTGGGGTACTGACATTTGAAAATCCGATTATTGCAATGCACAGCATTTCTAGTATAGACTATTGTTCAGGGGCCTTGTGCTACAGTGACCACTCATGCTTAAGATAATGTGTTAGGAATGTTCCTGTTTAAATCAGTAGATGTAATGAGAAAATTTAAAATTATGTACATGTGCTAAAACTTTGAAGAGTTACATATCTGTTCAACTTGTGAACACTGTAATTTTTCTCATTAGAAGTACCTTTAGAAACAAAAAATTAACTGAACCTCAGTATTTAATGAATTAAAAAAAAAAAAAAAAAAGTTTATTCTGACCACGGAAACATTATTTATATCACAGACGTTCTAGAACAGCTTCAGATTTATGTGGAATAGAGCACAGTGTGCCTCTGCTGACGAGAGAGAGAGAGCAAGACAGTTTTAAAGAAAATCTTGTTTATCCTCAAGTATTTTAATATTAGAGTAAGACCTGATGACCCATGACAGTGTTTGAAGTTGTAGGAAGACACGTTGATCTTAAACAAGATCTGCTTGTATCTGTTTTCTGTTCATGCACACATCTTTCAGTGCATGTACATTTAGCTTTTAGTAACCTGGAATTAATTCATTGGCATCCTGTGCTCAAAACCAAATGCACTTTGATGTCTGAATAATAAAATCTGAGGCTCCATGTTTATTACATTGATCTATGTGGCTGACCTAAAAATATAATGCTTCCATAGGAGCTGTTAGGACTTTGTGCATATAAAGTGGAATAGTGGGGAAAATAAAAAATGAAAATAACATAAAATAAAATAAAGTAAAATAAAATAAACTCAATGAGATGTCAGAATGAGGATGACAAGGAATCATTCATTATGAGGGCATTCAGCAGGCAGGACAGCAGGTCTGTCTAGGTTGCAGCATCATGATTTCCATGCTGACATAGCAATTAACTAATAAAAATTAACATAGCAATTAACTAAGTTAAATACATTTCCATGCTGACATAGGAGTTAACTAAAGAGAACAGGATATTGCTGTGCCTCGCAAGCCTCGTGATCAGCTGCCCACCCGGGATGGGGTTGAAGCGTACCCTTGCATCTGGATAGACCATAAGGACCTCTAGCTGGGTGTGTAAAGCAAGCGGCATCTTTGGCATTGGCTAAGTAACATCTGCAGTTTGTTGCAGTGTAGGACTCCCTGTCCCTTTCTCAGCTGCTGTAAGCACCATTCACACCACTCCCTGCACCAAATCTGTTCCTTTATCAGGGCAATGACATGACTCTCTTCCTGTCCTCTGCATATGTGCTCGTGTTTGTGCATGCCAGCCTTTCCCTGTATCAGAAACTTCCTTGTCCTCAGCATTTGGTCTGTACATTGCAAACCCTTCCTCTGGGGTTGCTGTGAACTTACTTTCCTTTCTTACAGTGGAAACATCCTGGTAAAGACCGCTTTCTCTAAGCTGGGTGCATTCTCAGAAGCCTGGCTTTGCCCTCCACTCAGAGTTAACGTGTACTGGCAAGTATTCATATTCTGGGGAGGAGGGTGTTAAACAAACCCACCTGCTGCAGTCCTGCTGTGCTGTTTAGTGTCAGTGGTAGCAAATAAGGGAGGTTTTTCTCCTTTGTTTCTTTTTTTTTTTTTTTTTTTTTGGTGTAAAGGCATGAAGGTATTTTGTTGTGGTGGTTTTGGAGTGCTTTTTTGTTTCCATGACACAGGTTTTGTATTGCTGCTTTTAGAGTGTCTTCCCTGAAGACAGAAAATCCTTTTTTCACTTTTCATCCTGTTTGCCCACAGAGCTGATAGATGTGGTCTTTATCCTGTTTTGCCGCTGCACTGCATTACATTTATCATTAAGGAGGCTGCATGAGGCCAGATATCTAATTAATGACATTAGAAGGGCACAGGTTGAGGGAGAAAGGGAATACAGTTTCTGATGAGGTCAGGTTGGTGATTACATCTAATGTTCTTCAGGCAGCCTTGCACTAATCCATGGGAGTAAATCCCATATACCTACAGGAGAAAGGCAAGTAGAGTCTTGTAAGGGTACATATCCATGTTGTTCACTAAAATAACACTGGGGTTTTTCTTACTTGTCCAGAAGACTATACCTGCCTACTGAAGAAACAGCAAAATAATAGTCCTTTCATGTGATACTATGGCTCATACACTTTCTGTCTCTAAAATTCCACTTCATGTTGCCAGCAACGTGTTCAGACATCATTGTGTTGTGTTGTGTTGTGCAGAATAATTCAGGGTTTTAAGGGAAAAAGGCTGATGGTATCCTGCTAATTTGCATTTGTAGATTGCTGGCTGTTTATGCTTTAGAAATTACTATTATATGGCTCGGTCTAAATGAGAAAAGATGTTGATAAAAGCCTTACTGGAGAAAGGGGAAAATAAAAAAAAAACTTTTAAAGTTATACATACATTAAAAAAGCTTTTTAAATATATGTATTGATCCTAGACAAATAAACAACAAAAAAAAAATTCTAGGATTTGTTTTAAAAAATAATTCCACAGATTTTTACCTTTACAAAATTGAAGATATTTTAACAATGTCATTGTACACACCATAAATGTTCACTGACTTTTTCTTTAATTCCCTACCTTATCCTCATTTTGGTTGTCTTTTTTTAATCATATTACCAAGTTCTCCAAACCCACATTCTATGTAATGTTTTCTGTCTTTTTTTGTGTGTGTGTGTGTACGTGCTGTTTGTAAGGAGTAGGTCATGTGCAAGGCAGATAATGAAGGCAGCACTGAGGGTAGCAAGAATGACCTGACTCCTCTGTGAAGAGTCACGGTGGCAAGATTCCTGCATTGGTCATGCAAAGTGTGTGTGTGGGGAGGGTGGTGGCAGAGATGGGGGGGCACAGAGGGCTTCATTTTAACCAGGCAGATGTTAGAGGAAAGAAGGCATCTTTAGTCAAAGCACTGGTTACAGTTTTGAGCAACTGGTAGGAGACTCACAAGCAGCGTGTGAAAATTGAAGTCAGAATAGAATCTAGTTCATACCCACCTCTTGTGAAAACAGGCAGAGCTCGTCTGCAACTGCGTGTGTATGGTTTGATGTGCACCACGAAAACAAGGTAGCAGTTATTTAGCATTCTCTACCCTTGTGGCACTGGAAAACTTCCCCCTCTCTAGCAGTCAGTGGAGATGGAAGAGGGTTAAAGCAGTCTGAATGATTTATGTACTGCCCAAACAGATTTCCAGCAAACGAAAGTTTCTGATGCCAGGTCCATTCTTCAAAAAGAATCATTAGTCCCAGTACAGATATTTTTATGACTGTTGCCCATGTTGACATGAAATTAAGTTGTATTCTAGCATCCTGTCCAGCTCTTTGTGGTTTGGGAGCTGGAGTCTGGTTAGACATGTGTTTTCTGTCTTAAAAGTATGGTCCTCCTTCCTTCACTTCTGCTTCAAATTCCCATATCCCAATTGCAGCTGTACAGCACTTGCATTTTGGCCTAGCTCAGGCAGTGCCATAGTCACAATGTTCTTTTTTGTGCCTTGTCTTACAAAATTTGTAACATTTTTTTTTTGTAATTTTTTTTTTTTTTTTCCCTGTAGAGTAAGAATGTCTGAGATTTGTCTGTTTTGGAAGCAGTGCAACAGTTAGGTGCAAAGGAGGTGTTCTCTTCCCTTCAGGTAAGATATTCAAGGTATTGCTGAAGTGGTGTGGATTGTTGCATGAAAAGCTAACCAGATGTACAAACAAGGGATATAGCCAGCAGGCAACAGAGACTATAGGGGTTGACTTACTGAAATAGGATGGGGTGCTGTAAAAATTGTCAGATGGACCATTAAAGTGCTTCAGCAGGGAAAGGTAGGCACAAGAACACAGCTGCAGTTTAATTTTCTCAAGCAGAAAATGATTTACAGGTAAGACAGGAGTAAAACATCTGGATTTTTTTCCTATTAACCTGGCTGTGTTGTGTTCACACAGATGTTTTTACATTTATGCAACTGACTTTCTCCAGAATTAATTGTATATGTACAACATCTTTGATAATTTACACAGCACTGTAATCAGTCTTGATCAGAATATGATGTGGAAAATGGCGTAAGTACCTGTGACAACTTAAAGTACCTGAACAGACAGCTTATGTGCTTTTTGCCATTGGGAACTCTTTGTACAGGGCAGAAACCAAAGGCCATTCTGAACAGGAAGATTGTTTGTGTCTGTACTTGTCTTCCCTCTACTTTAAGTTGAAGTCTGCAGGAGCTGGCAGTTTGCTGCTTCCCCCTGCGTACTCCTGCTGCAGTATAGACACAGAAACTCTATAGCAAACTTCAGTCCTTAATGCAAAAAGCTAGAAAAGCTATGGAGTGGCAATGAAAATGATGAAGGGGATCACTGATGTCCTAGGTTGATGGAGCAGCAAGAAGGAATTTGTCAGACAAAACTGTCATGAGAACCTGTGCAGTGAGCAACTAACCCCTCAAGGTATGAGAGAAAGCAAAAATATTTTTAAATTTCTGTAGCTCAGCATGGGAGAAAATTATTTTGTAGCTCCAACCCAGTTAAACCTGAATGCATGAACAACCTTGGACATACTCAGCTCTGCTTCTGACCTTGTGTTCTCCACAACTGTATTTGAATAGGAACAAACAAACAAACAAAAACCTTTCATGTTTTACAGTAAACGAAGGAAAAGCTACTGTAATTATCTCATTCTGTTGTGCAGCCATATGACAGATAAGTTAGCTATTTATGTGTCCTGTTGCCTTGTATTAAGTTAATAGATATTCTATGTATAAAATGAATGATATTTCACAGTATTTGTGTAGGGGGAATAATTTAACAGGCACTCATGCAAAATAGATGGTTTAGGTCTTTTTTATCAACTCATGTCTACTTTTTCAAGTTACAGGATATGCTTCTGAGACAAAAATGAACATTGTCATGACCAATAATATGATTATAACTTTTCTGTATTGAAAGTTGAGCTGAAAACTTCTAGGTTTTTCACTGTATATTTTTATATGTTGTTCAGATTATGTAAAGTCAAGAGGAGACTTAATTTAGTGCAGAAGGCAAGAGGTACTGATAAGATGATTAGCTAAACAAAATAACAAGCCTTGAACAATGGACAATGAAAAAATATTAGCTGTTTATTCTGAGTTTTACTGAGGAAAATATGGAGGAAAAATGATGGAAAGGAAGAGTTTGCAGACACCAAGTATGAATAAAAGACTCTCTTCTAGCAGCAGAATGGTAGAAAGCTTAGACTAGGATGTAAGGAAGGTCTAGGTACTTCTTTTACATTAGGAGAGAAGGGTTTTTTTAATGAGTTCTGTTTGACAAGCTTTACTGATCCAAGCTAGGACAATTTAAGGGGTTATCACCTCCAGCTGTCCATCACATCCATTGAGTGGTGCTTACAAGTCCCAAAACTGGCTGAAGAGCAGTGGATCTGGTCCTGAGGTGCTGCAATTCAAAATCTAACCTATTAATGCAAACCCTCATTGATTTTAGTCTGTGTTAATATATTGATCTATGAACTACTGTGCTAGGAGCTGCAATTCATGATCGTGGGGGGATTTAGCAGCATTTAGGGGCAGAAGCCAATTCAGCCATCTTAGCTGGGAGCAAGGAGAGGCCATGAGCCTAGAGAATGCCACTGAGACATAAAATTGGTTTATCTGAGCAGCCAGAGTCATGACAGTGGTAGTCCCTGGGTGCGTATAGAAGTGCTTTGCTTATACTCCTGGGAGGTTTTGCAATGACAGTTCATATAACAAATGGGGGGCCAGTGGGGAGTCACTGGCTTACCTCTGCACAGCACAGTGATTTAAAGCCAGTGTGGTATCAGCTTTCATCAGCTCACTAGCTGTGTTAGTCCTGTACGCATGAATTCATTGAAAACCTCCTTTCCCCTTTCCATTCTATCCAGTTATGTTGAATTATCTTCTGGATATATTGGTGGCACCTTCCTGAGTGTTGCAATGGCTGGCTCGCATGTTTTGCTGGGTGCCAACAAAGTAAAAAAACTGTATTTGGTTGATTAGACAACGTTCCTTGCATTGCCAGTTGATGAGCTGCTGGTTTCAGGATCAGGCTGGCACAGCGTTCCTGGGGATAAGCTATACTATGTGACAGGCAGAGTAAGGTCTCAAAATCATAACTTAGTCATCTTGTTCCAGACTTAGGTGTCCTGAAAATGTTTCATACAGTGTATGCAGCTAGCACTTCTTAACAGGCTTTTTGGGTTTGTGTGTGTTTGTGGGCTTTAATAAAACCTAATGTTATAAAAGGTAATACTTTATACTAGAACATTTACAAAGTCAAGAAATCAAAAAGTTTATATTCCAATAGTAATGATAATATACTGCCTCCTCCATATAATGCATTTAAATGGATGACATATGTCTTTTTACACAGAATAATTTTAAGCAAAAAAAGACACCACGTTCAAATTGCTGAAATCTTAGCAAAACAAATCACATTTTACTTTTAGTTTGTTTGTTTGTTTGTTTGTTTGTTTTTTAAGATTGAAACTAAGTAGATAACTGAAAATTGAAAATAGTGAATGCTTACCTAATTATAATATTGCCATTGGAAAATTTTTTTTTGTTACATTGATACAAAGTTACATTACAGGTGACCTGAAAGTGGGGGGAGGAATATTGCCTTTTAAATTTCATTACATTTAAAGATAGACTAAAAATACTGTTAGTGTATCACTATCTGTTTGCAGTACATTTGTCTCACCCACCTGAAGTATTCCAGAGAATATGAGGGGTATTATTGCTGGTAGTTTTTTGGGGGAAGAAACTTTTGGGAAGTGAACATGAGAACAGACAAACATTCAGGTTGCAGTGAGTGAAATAATTCAGTAAGAATGTTCTCATTACCCTCTACAGGCCATGAGGCTCCTTTGTGAGTCTTGAATTCCCACTGTGCATCGTCATCATGAAGCTATCATAATCTTCAAAAAAGAAAACCAGTTATAATCTGATAATGAACTATGACACATAGAAGAGGGTGGAAGTACTCAGAATTATAATTGCAATTTACATGATGTAGTGATATTAATTGAAAACCATAACATTTCATTTTTTATACAAAGGTCAAAGGGAATTGTTCTTGTTCTTGTTTTTTGTTTATTCCCCAGAAAACTTTTAAATCTGTAGAGAAAATTTTCCTTGCCTTTCATATTCTGATCAGCTTTTGGTATATCATTATTCTTTAAGTTTTTTGTTCATCTCCATAACCAAACTGCAGTGACAAAGGACGAGCTGTTTCACACTTTTGTTCTTAGTATTGATTTTTCCAAAAGCACTTTCCTGTTGCTATCTTATCAAAGCAACTAGGCCTTTGCAATAACAAAAAAAACCAAAACAAAACAAAACAAAACAAAAAAAAAAAAACAACAAAAAAAAGAATTCTACTTAGAACATGTTAGATATTTCATAATGTGGAAAAAACCTGAAGAAACACTGGACAAATAGGATCATATTCAGTGAAAAAGGCACTCTCAGGTTTCTGAGATTTCTTCTTTAGGATGTTTCTTGCATGTACTGAAACATTTAGTTTTTTCCCTGCATGGCATGTGACTTTTAATCAGAAGTATCACTACTTATTTCATGTATGAAATACTTATTTCAGAATTCATATAGTGAAAATCTCTTGTCTTTCCTGGTTATGAAAGATGATCAAGAAAAGCCCTCCAATGCTCAGAACTCAGAGGCAAATAATAAAAAGAAACTTTTAAATATTAGCTTTTAATTTTTGGTAGAGTGATGTTAGTGAAGAGTGGGCTTTTCAAAGGTATTGGATTTTCCTAATGAGAAGTTTCTCCTACAGATTTTTAAATGAATAGTCTGAACTTTTTTTTCTTTTTCTTTTCAAATACAAGAAAGAACTTAGTAATGTTATCAGAAGTAGGGTGTCATTATTTGTTACATAATACTTTATGTTTACTTTCTCCAAATCAGTCATAAAGCCAAAAAAATCAGGTTCTGGCTATGTGGTATAAATATCCGTGTATCTTTCAGTCACCTCAGAGAAAGACCGTATTATATAGGCTTTTAACAGAATAGCCAAAATACAGTAAATCTACCTCTCAATAATTCATTTGTGTAATTACAACCTTAGGCTTCTTAAATTATGGCAGAGACTTATTTAGGAGCTGTTATTAGCTTAGAATCAAGAGGCATGCATTTTTTTAGTCCCCCGAGAAATTCTGATTCATAGTCCAGAGAATGGTGTAAAGAAATTTCTTGGGGAATTTTGAAGAGAAAGACGGAATTCACTAAATCTGGGAAATGTGATGTATGCTACATATTTGCTTTTATAAGAATTCTTGGGGTTCTGGAGATAAAGATGATTCTAATGTATCAAGAAAATACATTGTCCATCTTCTGATGTAAAATTTGCCATTGCTACTTCTTTTTTAATTCAACCAAAGTATTTGTATACCAGTTGAAAATTTGTACACCATTTTTGCATATGAAAATATGTTTTCTTCTGGGATATATAAACAGAACACAGGGATTTTGAGAGAAAGTAGAGATCTCAACAGAACTGTCGTGGAATGTACTGAAACATAGCTACAATATTTTCTGTTGTCAGCAGCTGTTATAAAATAATTCAATATAGAAGCTGTATGTTTAGCTTCTCAGATGCAGTACAAATGTTCTTTT